GGGACTTAGTAAGGAAGGCTATAAGTCCCTTAATTGGGGTTATAAGTATGGTTACCCTAATTATAACCCTACCTACTAAGTCCCATGATCCCTTAAGTACTCCCAGCCGTAGCATTAGCGAATTCTTGCTGTTTTGCTACTACCACAAAACTGAGGCCACAAGAGCGCGCCTTTCTGAATTATAACCCTACTTACTCAGTCCCATGATTCTGTAAGTAGTGTCGGGAGTCGGGATCCACCTCTTGCTGCAGGGCCAAGGTCGATATGATGGCCCTGTCTAGCGAAGGACACAGCTCCTTCATCTTAGTGGCTGAGGTAGGTAACCTTTAACCTTTTTTTTGGGGCTCTTATAGTCCTACTATAATTCGAAAGGTTAACCTTTTTTGGGCTAAGGTACTCAGGCTCAGGCCCCAAGTAATATCAATCATCCATCCGCAGACCATTCCGTGGCAGCGTGCATGAGGCCAGATGTTAGTTTATGACTGCTCCTGCCCGAGTCAACTCAAAGGTGTAACACATTTGGGACTTTCCGAAAATAAGGGGTACCATATTTTGGGGTCCGTATAATGGGGATCCTACTATTTAAGCTGCTATATTAGGGTCCCCTATTTTCGGAAACCCCCAATTTCAAGATGAACCAGTCAAAGAACCGTAGAACAGTCCTACACACGTGCCAAGTCAACCCTGAAAAGGTTTAGGACTGAGCAGGTTGACCTGTACATCTTTACTAATCTGTCAGCTTTTTGAGGTCTTATGCTTCCCCCGTGCTGCGAAAGAAGACATTGCAGTGCAACGAACGACAGCGAGACACTCAACATTGGCTTGGCAAACATTTCCACGCTTCTCTTGTCTACCACCGAATCCTGAAAGAATTTTCGCCTACAAGCGCGCAGGCAATGGCCCACCTTTTCTACGAATGTCTGTTTGTTCTTGATAAAAACGAGTTGTGTATGGGGATCCTCTGTTCAACATGACTTGTCGACTAGCCCACAAGCCCGTCAGGCCGTGATATAGGCCCCTCACTGAGTCGAAATATGAGAGTTTCAGAAAACTAGGGTACCTTATTTTGGGGTCCTTATAATAGGGATCCTATTATGTAGGGTACTATATTAGGGTCCCCTATTTTCGGAAACCCCCATATAGTCGGCGTCTTCTAGAAGCAGTTATGCTGAGATCTTGCCTAGGCCGGATCGTTCCCAAGAGGAGTACGTTCTGCACAGCCTGTTTGAGCTGAGTCGGAGGAGCATAGAAAGGGCATCCGCAGTGCACGGTGAGCGTTGGTGGGCGTGATGTGTCGTCATTGAAGGGCGCTGCATAGTTCCTCAACGCTGGGTTGCTACTAGTTCTTAGTTACAAAAAACAAGACTCAAGGTACTCTATCCGGAGGGTGTTCGACATGCGTCAGCCACGTACACTGAGGCTTCATGTTAAGCTCAGGCCTCTGTCATAAAATCACTATTCCTGAACTCCTAGGCCTCAAATAGTTGACCTTCAACTACTACGACCCCAAACTTCTTCGGGATCTTAGGGGGTAGCCCTAAACCCTAAACCCCTAAACCCCAAACCCTCAACCCTAAACCCTAAACCCCTAATTCCCTAAACCCTTAAGCCCTGAACCTAAGTCCCGAAACACGCGGTGTTGCCAGGGCCCTTCCCGCACTGGGCCATTCTGCGTCCTTGCCTCAGAGATCCTAAACATCCCAAGGCACCATCATCTTACCTTGGTTTAGGGGTTTAGGGTTTAGGGTTGCTTGAAGGGTTTAGTCATTGGGATTCAGGGTTTGGGGCTGTAGCTGCGGGCTTGCGGAGTGCATGACTTACCGTTTTCAAAGGCTGCAGGTGTGGACTTGAGCCGACTGAAGTTGATACAGGTAATCCGAGCCCCTGAAGCTCGTCTGTATGTTGACACAGTTTCAGAGCGTTTGCGATTGATTGCCCGTTGCGGTGGCCCAGAATGCAGCGGTACTGAAACAACCCCGCCCCGCCTGGTAGGTTTTTAAAGGAGACCTCGGGACAGAGCTCAGAGTTTTAGCTGTACTTGGAGGATAGTAAGTCCCTTAATTAATTGGGGTTATAAGTAAAAAGAAGAAATATAAGTAAAGTTACCTTAGTTATAACCCTACTTACTAAGTCCCACGATCCTTTAAGTACAACTTGGTATTTCGGGGATGGCGGCTTATGGCTTGAAGGATCGGCCACAGTTGTCCTAATCCCCGCTCGCAGTTGAACATGGGACCCCAGTTTGAGCTTCCGTGTCACTGCACTGAGCTTCAAACAATGACCCAAAGACAAGAAAAGAAAGAAAAGACACACTTTCTCTCTCTCTCTCTCCCTCTCTCCAGCTCTCACTCGCTCTTGTGCCGATACTTCGTACGGTTCGTCAAAATTACATTTTTGCACTTGCGAGGCTGAGATGGTGATTGTTGCAACTGTTGCCAAGCACCAGGATTGGCAACATGCAATGAATGATGTAGGAACGAAGCACGGTACCCGCACCTCCGCCCACAACAGGGCCCAACAAGTCAGCACAGGTACGAATGCACCATTGAGGAACGCCGGAAGCCCTTCCCCCGCCAAGCCGCACGCACGAGGTCAGCGCCCTCCATTGGCACAGCCGGAGCCGCATACTCAGTGGAATGATGTGTGTTGCTTTCACGCCATGGCAACCTAGGGCCCGGAGGTTCAAGTTCAGTCGTTGCACTTGTAGAAATCCGAACTAGGGGATTGAGACACGTTGGTGTTTCCGTCGTTCTGAGTCCGACAGCTTTGGTGATGTCGTAGCTTGAAGGCAACTCCTGACGCATTTAAATTGAGGGTAAGAAGCTCTGTGAACAACCCATATGCCTGAACTCAGACGCTCAGACACCGCGAAATTGAAAGAGGAGCTTCCTGCCACTTCTAGAAGCGAGAGACCACGGCCGTAAACCCGAAACATCAGGCCTCTAAACCTGCAACCCGAGATACCCAAACCCCCGCATCTACACACGGCTGAAAGCCTCAGTTGCTTTCGCTGCGGAACATGGCTCCTTTGACGATGCCGCAAAGGCTTCGGTAAAGTGGCCCTGTTTGTTTGGGGGTTCTTATTGGAATTATAGCATAATATCGCCAAAACCCTATTCTTATTTTAAGGCCCCTATATGAAACCTGGTGTGTTTTGAGCACTTCGGGGGGTCTGGTGGTCCTCTATGAGCCATGCCTGGTCTGGGTCTTTTAGAACTCGGTTTTATGTAGGGGCCTTAATAATTACCCATACTATGTTTAGGGCTCCTTATTAGAATTATAGTATCCATGGGAGTTTCCAGGGACTTTTCGGCGTCAAGCTCTTGGATATGCCCCCATACAAGGATAGAATGGAACGTCGATCCTGTGGTTTTTTGTGCCTCGGAACAAAGACAGGTCGAGAGTGAAGACACCCGCATTGCGTTTTTGAGTCTTGAGGGTTTAGGGTTTAGGGTTTAGGGTTTAGGGTTTGGGGTTTAGGGTTTACGGGCGTTTTTGAGTCTTGAGGGTGTGGAAATTTCACACGCCGCCAGCGAAAAGCCGAGAGATGATTTGCACTGTGCGGACTTATCGGACCTTGTGCATGCTGCTGTGAGAACTTCAGTATATCTACACTGTTGGTACATGGAGTGCCGGTGTAAAACGAGCCCGCTCTTTTGCTCAGAAGCTCGCGAAATCGCTTGGAGTTGGACCCACTTCCAGATACTCAACCAACGGATAACTCATGTCCACACCATCATAAACACCACCCATCTCTCGGACGCTTCGTGCAACCATGGGATCTCAAAAATGCGCACACATGTCCCCTAAACCCTAAACCCTAAACCCCAAACCCTTAAAAAAAACAAACCCTAAACCCTAAACCGATGTCATCCTGGCCAGTCGTTATACCGGTCCTGCCTCATACAACGGCAATGCTTGGACCGGGGGCGAGCATCATCGTTGTCATGATAGCCTCATCAGAAGAGCAAGAAACCATCGTCATTAATGTAGGAACCTGATTAAGAAACCCTGGCCCTTTCACCCCAATATATTCGGGTTCATATTAAGAACCCTAATAAAGACCCAGGGTTTCTTAATCAGGTTCCTGCATTATGATGCATCCCTGAACCCGAAGCCCACAACCGGCATCGATTGGAGGCGCGCCCCTCCGGGTGCAGGACCGCTCAACAAAGTGACATGGCAGGATTGTTGCTGGGCTTCGCTTGAGTCGGAGTTTTGGGTTTAGGGGTTATGGCTGGGATTGGCGCTATTTCTCTGGAGTTGTGGGGATGGGGATCATTGCATTTTTACAATAATTGAGGCACAGATGGCCTTGTCTGTCGGTGCGTGTGCCGTAGGCGGTGGCAATCATGTGCCTCTCCCCTGTGCTCTGTCGAGGCTTTTGTGAAAGATTAAAAGTTCAAGCTATGGGCACAGACTTTGTGACGAGATAGGCGCACTGATGAGCGAGTTGCTTTGTCAAGCAAACTACCTCAACATGCTTGCTGCTGCTGGTCGGTTTATCAGTTATCTTCAGCGAAAGGTTTCCAATGCAGTACAGCCCACCGAACCGCATGCACTTCCACTCGGTCCCGGATGCCGGAAGATACGACCTTTGACCTGTGGAGCTCTGCATGCCTTGACGTGTTTTGCGCTCGAAGTTCGAGGACCCAAGTAACGCTCTCAGTCGACCTACTGAGAAAGGAAGAAGCGATCTCGGCGATACAGCCGGAAGGACAACTCTGGACCATGCTACTGCTAAAGTTGCTAAAGGTGTTTCTTATGATTTGCAGGAAGGGTTTGTGTAGGTTCTGCCGCATTCAACCAATCTTGACATGTGCATTGCACAACTCCCTTGTCCTGTCGCTGTTCATGCGAGGTCGGTCGGCGAGCAATGGGGGCTGCGACGCCCTCGCAGCGCGATTTGCGATAGCGCCTGCCGGTAGGCCTCCTTGTTCGAGCTGCTGCACGCTAGATCTGTTAGAGGTCTGATTTCGGCAGGATGGTTTTCTCATCAGAGCTTGTGGCTGGTCAGCAGCCTCCAAGAAACGCTGCAGTCTCAATGAGGAAGGCATGGCGATGCAGGATGGTACTGCATGCAACTCGTCTATTTTCAATCATGTGTTGATGATGATTATGATGATATTGCCGCTGCGGGCTAGGATGAGATGATGCTGTTGGAAAAAATAGAACGCAGGATGGCTCGGCAGCCTCAAAATGAAAGATAGCAAAGCAAATCTTAATCCCACACCAGGATTTATCATCTTCACCAAAGCCAAAGCCACAAGGGTGGTAAAGCGGAACTGTACTGTAACAGCAGAAACATCTGGGAGCTAGGATTACGGGGACCCTTGGGGATATAGACCCTCTCAATAAGGTCCCTTTTAAGAGAGCCAAAAGTAGGGTTCAGAAGGGGTACCCTTTAAGGGGTACCCCTAATAATACTACCTAACATCAGTCAGAACACAATCACAATTGCGTCAAGAGCGTTGCGTCGTTCATTGTCGGCAACATGCGCGCGAGGGAGCAGGGATCGCCTGACTTAGATCAGCACAGTAACGAAAACCATGGAAAGCAGCACATGGGGGTTTCCGAAAATAAGGGACCCTAATATAGTACCCTAAATAGTAGGATCCTTATTTTAAGGACCCCAAAATGAGGTACCCCTACTTTTCGGAAACTCCCACATGCTTCTAATAGAAACAAGTTTACTACTTTCGTCAGTTGCATTAGCTCATATCTTTGACATGGGACATTCACAAGATCACAGCAAATTAGTGACATGCATTGTGTCAGCACTTGGGGATGCAATCCATGAACGGCAAGATTGAAGCAAACTAGTCGCGACCACAGTCGTGGCCATGCGATCGCCGCCCCGGCAGGCCGATTCCCGATGAGGAAGTCCGATGTCCTTAGGAATTCTAGCATGTGGGCTTCTCGAGATGCAGAGTGGCCAAACCCTCCACGGTTTACCCTGATTCCTAGCCCTCCGCAAGCCCAGTTCTCCGATGCTCGAGGCACCTCCAAAGTCACCACAAGCTTGGTTTCCTGATATTTCCTGTTTCCTGGACGAAATCATTTCTCGTTCTTGCCAATCATATAGGGGCCTTAGTAATTAGAACAGGGTTTGGGGCCCATAAATTATAGTATTATAATGCTATAATTATAATACGGAACCCCCAAAATAGAATTGGTAATTATTTAGGCCCCTACATTCTTAAACCCTTATAGCAGCCTTTTTTGTAACCTTATTAGACCCTTTTGAGAACCCTTTAAAGGAACCCTACTCTAATTGTTTAGGCCCCTACATTCCTAAACCCTTCTAGCAGCCCTGATAGTAGCCTTATAG